CCACATATATATGTATATATTATGCGTGTATTAAATGTATTTATATATATATATATATATATATATATATCCTGATTCTCATATTTACCCGCATTTCTGATTCATTTAATCCACAGAATTGGGCAGTACGTCGAAGCAGAAGCGTGGTGTGGTCAGGCGCTGGAGATTTTGTCGCTGTTGCCGAGTACTCTTGTGCAAGAGTACAAGCCTGTGGTAAGTGTGGTATATAATATAGTGCTCGTGCATGAGTATAATGTATGTTTATAGTGTCGTATGTAAAGTGCTTGCTGCATTACACTTACCTACAAACAGTATTAATCGCCCATTGTGAGCATTCGCGGGCCACAATGTGCGTGCTGCGCGCACGTGATTGGTATATGGTTCTGATGGGTGCCTGTCTCTTTTGCTCTTTATAGTGAGTGATGATTCAGGTCATGTGTGCATTATAAGTCCATATTGTATATATACCTGGTGTGGATTATCTATATTTCACCATGGGATAATCTATATCTCAGTATGTGTGCGGTATGCGGTCAAGTAGAGGCGCTGGGGCTTCTCGTTGGGTCTACACAGGTCTATTTCAAGCCGTACGCGGTTGATGTTGCATCGTTGTCTATACATTTAGACGACGTACGAGCACATCTCTGACGGTTATGTGTCGTTCAAGTATGAGCTGTAAATAGACAGATACTAACACGAACGGAATAACTCCCTTTACGAGGTCTGTCTTTGGCTAAACGAGTAGTGTGATTGTGGTATCACAATGGTGTGATGCAAACCATAGCTGCTTGGATACCTCATTACTAGCCCGCGAGGGTGCTGTGCGGATGTAGTTCGTGTATCTCTCCTGTGAGTAGTTCATATAACAAAAACAAATCGAGGAGTGGCGCATGCAGCAACCATAGTAGTCGTCAACGATGTGCAACCTCAAAAACCCCGTGATTCGCGAGTGCGATATCGATATGAATATCAGCAACGAGCTCCATGTCATCAAAGGGTACTCATGATAATCTACTTCATAGCTGGCGGTGTGGAGGCTACTTCAGACCATTCGGGTGGTTTCGATGAAAACTTTAGTACGCGCGGATAATGAAACACTCTCTCTTGGGAGTAGACAAGAATGGTTCTAAAAGATCTTGATCGCGCAATCAGCTCATTTAAGTGGCATCACTTCCTACCTTAGATGCAGAAAGGGTACGCCGAAGTGCTTTCGAAAGTATCGGATTTCGCAGAGGGTCTCAATTTCAATCTACAAGTCATTCCCAAGGCCGACTAAACAGTTTTTACAAATGCCACTGTGAAGCAATACAAACCAACACGGCTACGCACACAGCTACCATCGTCCAAACTGATGTATGGGTGACGCAGCTACCACGCTCAAGTTTATTAAACATTCTACAGTATCTCGACCTCGTTCATTTCGATAGTGTACATTTTTTTAATATATAAAGGGGTTCCCGGGAGCGGGAAGTGGTTATGAAAGTACAGAGCAACTCCCCAGAGCGTTTCGACTAGTATGAACTTTCTCCAATTTATGGTCAATTCAGTCCAAAGGTCCTTGAACCTCCACTGGTAATAGCGAACAATTGCGTAGCGTGTGACAACTAATTGAGGCTGACGGGGCGGCGGAAAACAGTCTACCCCCCGGTGTACTGGGCTTTTGTGTTGCTATATAAACTGTAGTCCAAAAAAAGTTTTTTTAGCTACATCTCTATGCCTCCTTGGACTTCGACCTTCCTATATGCAATGCACTCGCAATATTCCTGAGGATGCATATAAGTCTACGACTTCACACATCAAAAATATAAGTTTGGCTGTTAGAACTTACTATTTTGACGCGTATTGGAATATTCAGTTGGAATATTCAGTAAGTGTTTCGTTAGAGATGTGTGCGCCCTGAAAAGCAAAACGTTCTAACCGTTAGCTATGCAGGAAGTACATAGCTATCGCATTACACAGTACTGTCAAAGTCTTAGCCCGATTTGTTAATATAAGCACACAACGTCGCCTAATAAAAACTTGCAAAGTGAGCGAGTCTGATCTGAGTTAGTCCCCTAATAGGAAAATCATCAAACAGTACCTTATTACCAATGTTCATTAGCCTTAGAATCTATGCACAGTAGCATCCAACTAAAAATGATGTTATTAACCAGCATATCAATCAACACACAACCTAAAATAAATCCAATCGAAAACAAGACCAAGTAAGGAAATATCTTGAGCGAAACTCCGACACACACACCATCAAAGGTCATATGATTAACTTCTGATTCAACACCTTGGTTCGCACACCGTCAGGCCATCATTACACTTGTTATATATATATATATATATATATATATATATATATATATATATATACTATATATATATATATATATATATATATATATATATATATATNTATATATTATATATA